AAGGGTTTGCTGTTAAAGCAAAGATCGGAAGCTCAGAGTCAAGTCCTCCTTTTGCATGAAGAAGGCGAGACCACAGAAGTGTGAAGCGACTCCCTGGAGGCCACTCAGCAAGTGAAGCTTAAAGCTGGGCCCTGAACCTCCTGACTCCAGGCCACATGCTGAAAGGACCATGTCTCCCTGGCAGAGATGCAGTGCCAGCGCCAGCCTGGACACTTGACAAGGCCCGATGACCCTGTTATGGTTTGTGTCTCAATGTCCCCCAAAGCCTCATGCAGTCACAGGACGGGCTTCTCGAGTTTGTGATTGATCCACGGTCCAACGCTGGGATTATGGGTGTGAGTGCTACAGTACCCTGGGGCAGGCAGCCTGCACACAATATAAGGGAGAAAGAGGCTTGTTTTCTTCCCGTCTTCCCTTTTGTGCTCTTGCTGCTTTTGCCATGAACTGTTGCCTGCTGCCATGTGCCACTCTGCCTTGGAGCCAGCCAAGTGTGGACTGAACCCTCCAACAACTGTGAGCTAACTAACCCTTTCCTTCCTTAATTCTGGGTGTTGGGTACTTTGTCCCAGCAGCAAGAGGAAAGTAACTGAGACAGGCACAGTGGGCAGCTGGGGACAAGGAAGCTGCGAGGAGGAGCCACTCAGGGGAAAGGGGGTATGGGAGCAGGGGGCCCTGGGCCTGCTTCACCCACACCCGCCCCCACTGCAAGGCACTTGCCTATAATGTCTGGCCGGTCATCTATGAGGAGGTCAGCGGAGACTACGGTCTTGTCTCTGGTCAGCACAATCTGCTCCAGAAAGTCAGGGCCAAAGTGCTTCTCCACCCAGGCATACTAAAGTGAACAGGAAAACAAAAAGAACGACGTTAGACAGGGCTGGGAATGCTAGGCACTCCCAGTACCAGAGCCCTGAAGTAGGGAAGGGACCATCTGTGAAGCTGATGCCCAGAGAGAGTATGTCCCACATCCACAACCTGTAGCTAGAAGAGTGCAGGGTCCTGACTCAGAGCCAAGCCTGGTGTCTCCAGGCAACAGGGCAGGCCCTCAGTGTCCAGGCTCAGAGGTCAGCCACATCAGCCACCACGTGCCCACACCCTCCTTTCTCCTTTGATGTGCAAGCAGCACGGGAAGAACTCTGCCCTCAGAGCTTAAGCTGGAAGGTCAGTTTTCACAGACACGTTTCGACTATTCACAGCAGAACACTGGGACAGCCCACAGAGGAGCAGCCCAAGGGGCTAGGAAAAGCCACCGGGCTCCAAACTCCTCACCAGGGCAAGGGACACACACTTTCCACAGCCAGTATTCCAGTGAAGGCAGACAGGCAATCTGCAGGCACAGGGAAAGCAGAGGTACTGCAGTGTGATGCTGCCACCATAGGCCTGGCAAACCACCTGCACCTCACAGCTACTGGGCACTGGGAATCCTTTCCCCTTCCCCCATACACCTCGACTGCCCTGGTAGCCTTTCCCTCCAGATGGCATTTTTCCTACACAGGCCGCCCTGCAGTGATTTGCTGGTGCTCTGCTCTGAAAGCTCTCCCATTACAAAGCTACAGGACTCCTCCTACTGCACGAGGCGGCTCAGTGAGGGTGCAATCACCACACCACAGGCAGATCGGCTGTGGGCAGGCTGAGCCCTGCACGCCCTTCTGGCAGCTGAGGCACTCTCACTACCACGCTCTCCTGCAGGCACAGCCACCCCCATGGTGGGGCCTTGCTCAGCGCCTGTCCAGTCCATGCTGGTGAACAGGGAAAGTGGCAGCACCTGCCTCACCACGATCTCCAGGGAAAACTGGGAAAATGTGCACAACAGTCTCGGCACTGTGCCAGGTCCACAGCAAGTGCTCAGGAAAGGACTCGAGCTTTGGGTCTCAGCCCCCATCTGCAGCCTAACTGCCATCACCACCCCACAGTCAGAATGGAGAAGTCAGACTGTGGGGAAGCGGCTGAGCCCCCCAGGACACAGCTTCCTCAGAGTGTTGCTGTGTGGTCAGATAAAATCAGATCCATACAGGGCACTGCTGCATTTTGGATCCTGAATGTCTCCCAGAGGCCCATTTATGAGTGAGTCTCAGTCCCCAAAGGGGTGCCAGGGAGGTGATAGAACCTTTACGAGATGGGGCCTAACGGGAGGTCTTTGGGTCAGTGAGGCTGTGCCCTTGAAGGGAACGATGGACAGCTGGCCCCTTCCTCCTCCTCTCTTCTGCTCCCTAGTCACAAGGTGAGTGATTCTGTTCCACCAAACACCTCTGCCATGATGTGCTATCTCACCATCAACCCAAGAGCAACAGGGCCAACAGGGCATGAACTGAAACCTGCGAGCCAAAATAAACCCTTTCTTCTCTGTAAGTTGACTCATCTCAGGTATTTGTTAGAGCAGCGGAAGGCCGACTAACGCACACACTTCGAGCCTCGTACATGGGAAGAACTGTTCTTATAATTAAGTGTTAACAGCTCCAAACACTCTACAGAAAATCAACAACTATGAATGCAAATCAGGATACAAGGTCAGTATACAAAAGTCATTTATATTTCTATTCATTTGTAGATTACAATTGAACAAAAATGCCATTTACAGTAGCATAAAAAATTAAATAGATAGAACTATATGTTTAAAATGGCTAAAGTGGTAGTTTTATATTATGTGTATTTATTATAATGAAAATTTTAATTAAAAACTCAAGACAGTCTCTATGCCAAAAAAGATCCAATATGCAGTAAAGAAGAAATAAAATATGTGCAAGATCTGAACTCTGAAAGCTATAAAACACTGTTGAGAGAAATTAAACAAAATCTAAAATGAATGTGTTTGTGTGTTCCTCCATGGATCAGAAGATTCAATATTATAAAGTTCCAAGGTAAGATGCAACTATAATCAAATTCCCACCAGGCTCACTGCAGAAACAGGCAAACTGATTCTGAAATGTATATAAAAATAAAAAGGATCTCAAATGGTCAAAAGAAGTTTTGAAATGAAAAGTAATGTTAGAAAATTAATTGTTTTCAAGAGTTACTATAAAATATAATAAGACAGTGTAGTATTTATACTTAGAGAGACATTTTGATCAAAGGAACTATTCAGATAGTTCAGAAATGAACCCAAAGGTACCAAGACATTTCAATCAAGACACCCTTTCAAACACAGAAAAAAGTGAATCTATGTACCTAAAACAGAAAAAAGCTTGCTTTTGGCCCTTCTGTCATACAAAAAAATGGACCACAACCTAACATAAAAGCTAAAAGTATAATACTTCTTGCTCTTTAAAGATACTGTTCAGAAAATGAAGTGACAAGTCACAAAGTAGGAGAAAATATTGCAAAACACATTACTTGATAAAAGATTTGTTTCTAGAATACATAAAAGGACTCACAAATATGTGTTAACTACCCCATGAAAACCACGGCAAAAGATCTGAATACTTCATCACCAAATAAATACAGAGGACTGTTTGCTCTAAAGACAGTTCATCAGTGAAACGCACATTAAACAACAAGGAGCTCTGACCACACACCAGACACGACGGCCAATGTCCGGACCCTGGTGACACCCAGGGCTGAGGAGGGTGTGGGGCCAGAGGGACTGTTACTCACTGTGTGCACATGTTTTTGTTTCATTTTGTGGTAGTGGGGATGGAAGCTCCGGGCCCTGCACATGCTAGGCAAGCACATCACCATTATGCTACGCCACCAGACCATTTATCTTATCTTATCTTATTTTATTTTGAGACAGGGTCTTGCTACATAACCCAAGCTGCCCTCAAACTGCAGTCCTCCTGCATCTGCTCCCAAATGGCTGCAATTACAGGCACTTACCACCATGCCCAGCATGTGTGTAAGTTTTTAATAGATTTTTTTAAAATTTTGGTGCTAAGGTCCAGCCCAGGTCCTTGTACGTGAGCCCATGGTCTACCATTAAGCATCATCCCTAGCTCATAGCCTTTTTTTCAGAGTAGTTTTAGGTTCACAGCAAAATTGAATAGAAGGTACAAAGACTCCAATGTACCCTTCTACCTCCACACATGCGAGGCCTCCCATGCTATCACAACCCCTAGAGTATGCAGCACCAGCAGTGTGCCCTAAGGTCAACCCTGGATAGTGCAGGATGATACATTTCAAAGTAGGTTCACTGATGTCACAAGTGGAGTATGCAAGTAGGGGCGGTGGTATACCTTCAGCCAGGCTTGCCTCAGAGGGACACCTCAAGAACAGGTAAGACTGGAACAGGACTATCCACTAGGGCTAATAGCTGCTGTGCTGTCAGGGAAGTGCTACTTACTATGGACCTATCATTTTGATTCCTGAAAACACAAGGATAAAACAGTTTAGCCAGCCAGATGTGCTGATGCACACCTGTAAATCCCACTACTTGGGAAGCTGAGGCAGGAGGATTGCAAGTCCAAGCCCAACCTGGGCGATTTAGCAAGTCCCTGCCTCAAAATTTAAAAAAAAAAGCTGGGCATGGTGGTACACACCAGTAATCCCAGACTTAGGATGCTGAGGTAGGAGGATCACTGCAACCTGCAACTTGAAGCCAGTCTGGGTGTGTGTATATATATACCTCTGTGTATACATAATATATATATGAAAAAAACCTGGAGATGTAGCTCAGTGTGAAGGACTTGAATTCAATCCCCAATACTACAAAATAAATCAAAACAATATAGTTCAGCCCAACAAAATGTAAAGTTATCTATGTATAAAAGAGCACTGTCATTTCTAAACCAGAACTGGAAAAAAGTCAAACAAAATCTAAAGAATTATTGTCTAAAGAATTACTGAAGGGATATCTTACTTTTTTTGTTGATAAGACAAAATATCTGACACCCAAAGTTAAAGGAGGAAAGGTTTACTTTGGGTCAGTTTGCAGAGATTTCAGTTCATAGCTGGCTGGCTCCAAGGCAGAGTGAATGGCAGAGGGGCGTCACGGAGGAGAAATGGTTCATAGTGGGCAGAAAGCAGCAAAGCAGTGAAGCAGCAAAGCAGTGAGGAACAGCAGCAGCCAGCCTGCCTTCTTTCTGTCCCTTTATATTCGTCCCATTATCCACTCCCAAAACTATGCAAAACAATCAGTGGGATAATTTAGTAATCACACACTCTAGAGCCAGCCACCTCTGAAAAGCCCCACCTATGACCACAGGAGGCTTTGGGGGCACGTCTAGACACAAGGTATAATATGGGACTCACAGGGCAGGCCCTCTCTTCAAGGCCTAGGGCTGTGGGCAGAAAGTCCACGAGTAAAGAGCCCAGCAGTCATAAAGATGGAGGAGGGAAGGTGCTGGAGAGGATGGTGGCAGGAACAGCAGAGGGATGGCCCGGACAGACAGCTGGGACAGCTGCCCACCTAGCTCCTGGTGCTCCACAAGCCATGTGGCTCCCAGGCTCAGGACCAGAGCCGAGGCTCAGAACTCGACTCTGCTAGCTAGACACGGTCATTGCAGGTACACAGACCCAAAGGCAGGCATTTTCAGGGGTGGGGAGGGCAAACCATTTGAAAGACAACACTACAAAGCCCGAGGTCTTCAAGACAGATGGCTTGACCCAGGGCCCATGTGAGGTATCAACACTTCGTCTACAGTCCTGGTCAGGGTACAAAATGACTATAGCTTTAAGCACGGAGCACGGTTGATATTAGAAACGTGAACCATCTGCACAGTTTGCTCTCTTTTGATGTGTAATGCATTTGCCATAAAATCTACCCATTTTAAAGTGTACGATTCAGTAGTTTTAATACATTCATTAAGACATGGCCTAACCTCACAAAGGCTCCCTATCACCGCATTCAGCGGCAGTGCATTCTACAGATGCCATCTTGGCTGAGCTGCGGGATGGCGGGTG